GTAGGAGAAGGAGATAGAGGTAAAAAAGCCTGACGGCTCTTTCCATGGCTTGTAACCTGATACGGTTGGTTTAGCTTGACTTAAGTGAGTATTGAAAACACCGAGATGGATGAGATATTGCATCGGTGACAGAATAGATTTCTTCAGTCTGATTAGAAAGCCCACTTTTGTGGCTTCTGAAAGGAGAATCTGAGAGTGTTGTTCTGCTAAACAACGAGATGGTGCCAGAAGGAGACAGTCATTCATAAAATGGTGTGTGCACAGAACCAAAGAATGATAAGAAAAGCTCATACCACTCTACAGAAAACATAAGGTGTTGATGCAAGACCAAAAGGTAGAGCACTGAAATGCAGGACCTGACCCTTGTGCACAAATCTGAAAAACCTCCGGGAAGATTCCGCTATGGGAATATGGAGATAAGCATCTGTAATATCGAACTTGGTCATCCAGAGCCCTGGGACAAAGTGCCATCATAGGTTGAGAAAATATTCCATCATAAAGTGAGGAAGATCTAAAAATTGGTTGAGTCGAGACAGATCGATGATTGAACACCAATCTCCTGTCTTATTGGGTACAACAAATAAATGGGAATAACATCCGAAAGAATGGGTTTGATCCTCTCTACTGCCTTTTTGATTAAGAATTCTCTTATGGCCGGAACAAAGCTCCACTAATCGTGGATCTGTTGGAGGTGAAAAGACAAAAGGTTGAACAGATAATTGTGAAGGTGATGTAAATTGAATGACCAACCCTGAATCCAGAACATGAAGTACCCATGGATCCCTGGTGAAAGAACTCCTGATGTCCAGAAAATGCCCATGGGATAGTCACCGACGCTGTTGTCGGTGGTCTGTCCAAGTCGAAGATCCTTGAGAATATGGACGGACTCTATTATGGGAACCAATAGACCTGGGAACCAAAGGAGGAGGTCAAGAAACAGTACGATCCAACACTCCTAAATTAGCACCAGAAACGTGAGAAGCTAATGATGATAAAGAATAATGTAAACAAAATCAATAAAGTCGTGATTACAACATTTCTGGAACTCCAGCAAACAAGATGGGATGGAGAAAAGGAGCTTCCCATAACTCCCTGAGGGCAGAAGACTGTAAACATTTTCTTACAAGGCATCTCTATCCAGTAAATCCCAACAACAAACTAGAGAAAGAAATTAAGAAGACAATCTTACAGAAGCAGACATCAGCAAAGTCCCCAATTCGTCCTCAAATTGCTGAGGGGAATGTTGATAGGCTTCCGACAAAAGTTGGATCGAAGATAAATACCTCAGGACAGTAGTGAGAATAAGACGAATCTAAGAAAACTGTGATCACAGGTTCCAATCTAGAACCCCACAGGTCCAAAAGGGGTTCCATCTGTTGATAACCTAAATATACCTCCTCCTGGGGCTGTAGGTGGCTGATCAAGAGGATCCTCTGTTGAGGTAAAAGAAGGAGCTGAAAAAAGTGAGTCTACATTCTTTCTAGCTGATCCAGAGTCATTTGCAAAAGCTGCTTCAAAAGCCCACAGAGACACACCTTTGGTTTGCATATATGTCTCCATCTTGCAACAGATTATATCATGGACAGCCTCGACTGAGAGTGACCCCTCTCCTGACCATTAACAAACATCAGATAACAAAGATGGAAAAGAAAAGATCTGGTTGGTCTCCGTAACACAAACATTAAATTCGGGAATTCATACCCGTCAGTTTTTTAAGTTAATTAATTTATAAATATAAGCAAAGATATAACCGTAGTCATGCCAACTGTGTCCAAAATCACAACATTTCTGTTTATGGAAACTTGTGCCAAACACTTTGTCGAGAAAAAGTGATTACATAATCTGAATTAGGACTTATATACAGTACCTAGATAGAGGGTGCATCGAAGTTGGTGGAGAAGTTTGAAAATTAGAATTTGCCAAGGGCATTCAAGTGGGGAAAATTGAGACTGGAGCAAAAAGTGATTACATTATCTGAATGAGGTGCTTATATACAGTACTTAGATAGAGGGCGCATTCAAGTTGGTGGAGAAGTTTGCAAATTAGAATTTGCCAAGGGCATTCAAGTGGGGTATATAAAGACTAGGGCAAGCATTTTCAATGCTTTGATGGACAAGTGTCAGCACGGGTATGTTTTGGAATTACTACAGCAAATTCATGAAATAGTGGTGCTATGATTTTAGATAAATTGGAGCAGTTTCATCAATGAAACAGCACTTCATACATTATATTTAAGATTTCAACAACTTGTGTACCTAATAAGCAGCATGCTCCATCGTTGGACTGTAAAGTCCAAATAACGAAAGCTATCAAGTAAGGTATTCGTCATGATAATGTCTGGAGAAAATTCAACATTAAGCCCAGTACATTGTCTGTAATTTTGAAAATGTATGAAAACAACAAAATTGAAACCAAACACAATGTTTCCGGTTCTCAGCAGTGGACAATGTTGAGAAAGCATTGTTAAAATGGTTTACCAATGCACTCTTGATGAATATTCCAATCACCTGGCCCATTCTCCAAGCAAAGCTGGAGAACTGGGACAAAAACTGAATCATCCCATCTTCACAGCCAGCAATAGTTGGCTAGAAAGATTCAAGTCTCAACATGGCATCAACTTTAAATCAATGAGTGGCAAAGCTGCTGCTGTTAGCGATGCGATGATATGGTTGATGACTGGGCATCAACATAATTACAGGCATTAGTCGAAAGCTATTCCCCTTGAGATATTTTTAATTCTGAATGAAAGTGAGTTATATTTTGTTTGATGCCTTACAAGACTTTAACATTCAAAATGAAGTCTGTTTGGGAGGAAAGAAAAGCAAAGAAAGAATCACCATAATGTTGTTTGCAAATAGGATGGATTGGAAAAGTTGACATCACTCGTCATAGGGAAATCAAAGAAGCCACTGGGTTTCAAGAATGTGATCTCTCTACCTGTTAAGTGATTGAGTACACACAGAAGGTGAGAAGTTTGAAAATCAGAAAGTTCCCATGTTCATCAACAATTGCCCAGCTCACCCAGCCATAGACAACCTAAAGTCAATAAAACTCATGTTTCTCCTGCTGAATACAACATCAAAACTGCAGCTGATGGACCAGGGTGTGATCTGAAATTTCAAGAGCTTCTACTGAAAAGGGGTTGTACAGAAAATGCTGGTGACTCTCAATTCTGGAGAAAATCTACCAACAATCAACATCAAAGATGCAATCGATATGCTACATTCATCATGGGAGAAAGTTACTGAGTCGACCTTTGCCAACTGCTTCTGTAAACTATAATTTGCCCATGCACAAAATACCACTAATCTCAGCATGGAAGGAGAGGTCAATGCCAGTGCTGAAAATGATAATTCCAGTAAAACTTCTGTTGAGATCCCCATTAAAGAAGTTGGTTGTTTCTGGGAATGCCTGTCTCAACGACAAGAGTTTCCTGAGATGTCATTTTTGGATTTTGTGGATGCAGATGATGAAACTGAAGTTTGCGAGTTGCCATCTTACGATGACATTATTGCTTCCATACTGGAACAACAAAACAACAAAATGAAGATGCTCTATTATTCCCCATCATTGCTGAAGAAGTGCCTTCAACATCACAAGCCATGGATTGCCTAGTAAAGCTATCCAGTTACCTCCAGTCTCATGTTATAACGAATTACTTGATGGGATTCTTGGTTTTTGTTATATCAAGGTTCAACTGTACTTTCTTTCATTTCAGAATTTAAATTTTCCTTCTTGTTGATCAGAAAGTTCAATTTAAATAAATCCAATCAGTTACACTTGATTGATATTCATTAGCATATTTGTTTTTGAACTTTATTTTGTCACATACAGTATACACCACTTCTGGCTGAAAATTATAAAAAATGTGGTGAAAACTGACTTACCTCATTAACATTGGCTCAGGCTAAGTAACAATATTCTTTGCCAGGACCAACTGATGTCTAATTAATATAGATTCTTTTAATAAATAATGAGCTATTTCACTTATCTATGTTCTTTGAATACAATAAACTTTACAATAATTTCAATAAACAAGGATTTGAGTCATTGGAGTATTTTGACATTGCCTACCGTACTCACTAAACCTAACTAAGCTTTAATATCTGTTTTCTTATCATAAAAGACAATTTCTGTAGTTTACATACAAGACATAATTTAATATAAAAAAACATTTTAAGGAAAGAATGTCTAAAGAAATTGTAAATAAATTTTCAATCTTTGGTTTTTCCCAAGTCTTTAAATATTTCCATGAACTTCCTGTGTCCCATGAAATCATAAATAATTGTTCGCATCATTTCATTTACTATACATTATCATAAATAGTTTATAACCTGCTCTATTCAATGGTACTTAAACTTTGCCTGTAGCTATTTTCAAAGCTGTGCTTCATTAGCAATTATTCATACCACATTTCAACAACACAAAAGAGAGGGAACAATAAAGCCTCTAACAGAGAAGAAAAATTGGGTGAAAAAAATACAAAAACATTGATTATATTCATAGCAAATATATAAATATGCTTTGGGATGGGCATAAAAATTCGCAACAAATCAATAACTGTGTTGTTTAAAGGCATGACTTCTCGAAGCTGTGAGAAATGAAAGTTAGAACATTTTTTCATTTTTCTTTGCAAATTATATTAAATAAAAATGTTACAAAATAATAAAATATTAATTTTCATAATTTCTAAGCTAAAAATTGTAGAAATAAAGTTGAAATTATGATTTTTACTTATATTTTAAAATTGTATATGCAGGTGTGCACTCGACACCTGATAGGTGCTCACCAGACTTGTTAGAGCCAAACTAAGTTTTCACAAAAAATTTTTAATGTATATACACAAACACACTCACATATACACACATTTATTTTAATTAAAGATTAAAATACAAAATTTGAAATGGACATTTAAGATCTTATGAAGTATATATGATCAATAAATGAAATTTCTTCAGTCCAGTTCTTAATCTAATTTGCCTTTTTCTTTAAACATTTACCTCCCATCCTAACCCAGCCACAAATTCCTCAAATGCCTGACTTCCTCCCTGGTTCCTAAGTATTGAATTCTTATCTTCTTGACCCTCAGCTACATATATGACTGCAATCTTATGAGTTTCACGGCTATAGAAATAGATGTAGCTTATTCTGTTGTCCATATAATACAAGTTAAAATAAAGAAAAGCTGTTATAATGTAATTTATCTGTAACATCTGATTTGTACAGTAAATGTCACCATGCAAACTGAATTAGCAAGGTAAAAAAAACTACTAAAACTGAAATTAAATTCAACAATAACATATTCCTTTGAATTTATCAAGTATCAAATTGTCATACAGGTAATTTAAAATACCATTTTAAAAAGCTTTTTCAAATAAAACCACTAAAAGTTACAACAGTAATTAATAATTATAAGAATAATTGAACATTGTTTTCAAATAAAGTCATGTTATGACTTAAAAAACATACAAAACTGACATTAAGATGTTTTACACAACCAATGTGTACATATATATATATATATATATATATCTATACTTCAGGATTGTAAATTAGCTTAAAAACTTACCACTTCTGATTGTCTAAGTTACGTAACTCTCTCAACAGCTTCTCATTCTTTTTCAGCAAGTCAAATGTAGGTCTAAGAATACATAATTGATAATATAAGAACTAAATAAAATAACTTATCTTACACCTTTATAACAACAAAATCTTTAAATGCACGTTTTTAACAAAGTACACAAATAAAGTAATTGAATTAATTCAACTGAGAGCTTAAAAACATATTAGACTTGTTAGTTTCACACATAAAAATTGAAAGATTGTAAAATAGTCAAAGGTTTACTGATTCACTTGCAATGCTATTAAACCTTTTACAAGAACATTTCAGATTTTCCTTGCATCTCTTAACTCAGAAATGGCAATAAGATTGTAAATGACAAACACAATGAAACACATAAGTAATACAAATTCAAAACACATACTGTTTCTTATGCCTACATAATTGTTTTTAATAACAACATCAACTTTGTCTTCTTACTACTGTTACTGGTTTTTTCATTTCAAACAACTTGGAACAATGTGTATTTTATTTTTTTAAATGAGAAGAAAAAATTAGAAAAGTACATGCAAAAAGGAAGCCAGAAATGATTATTGAAAGTATTATTAATGACTGGAATTTCCTGTATAGTCCAAGAAATGAGACAGGGAATCAAAATGCAGACGACTATATTTGACTGTCAAATAACATTTTACAGATACAAAAAATAAGTTTTAAAAACTAATTCTACCACAAAAAATAACATGTTGTTAATAAACAAAAGATCAGTTAAGCTTTTCAAAGTTTAATTCTCTTTTTCATAAACTGAAGTTTTGCTAGTTTTACCTTTATATAAAACATTATTAAATCTCAACTACTAAGAATACAAATATGAATTTTCAGAAAGATGTGATTAAAAAAAAAGCTTTTAAAAATGCAATACATTAACAACAGTATTTTGGCAAGTGAAACTTATCTCCATACAGTTTACATTCATACCCAATTAATAAATAGGAAATTTGCTTTAGACAAAAGACCTTAGCTTCAAATGTAACCACTCTTTAACCCTTTGCAAACTAGAAGAGTATCACCGCTATTTCCTAATTTTTTTCCTCTTCTCACAGTGGAAATACTTAAACAAACTGCACTGAATTGTGTACAAACTCACTAAAAAGTATCTAGTTTTAGCTTTAGAAAAATCCATATAATTTGATATACTATTTCTAGTATATTTTAGGATGTATAGTTTTTCCAAAATTTTGTTGCGAAATACTGTTTCAAACAAACATTAAAATACTTCCTTTTGTTTTAGAATTTCTATTTTTTTCCTAGTTGGTAACAAAATTTTACTTAATATATCAACTTTATTGATATTCATTAACACATTTCTTTAGATGTTTTATATTCTGTAAATTGCCATTACCACTTCTGGCAGTAAAACATGAAAAAACAGAGCAAAAACTGACAAACATTTACGAGGACATCATTTTTCAAAATGTCATCACTATTAACACTGTCATGCTACATACTGTGATTTTTGCTAGCAATACTTTTGGTCAAGATCAATTTATACCTTATGAATATAGTTTATTTTCAATAAATGATGTTACTTTATTTGTGTACTATGTTTGAATACAATAAACCTAACAATAACATTCAATAAATAAGAATTTCAATCATCCAAATATTTTACCATTGCCTACAATACTCATTAAACCTAACTTTCCCTAATGTCTTGTCATAGAAGAAAATGTAACTTTCAAGTAGACATAAGTTAATATAAAAAGAATCTCAAAAGAAACTAATAACAAAATTTAAAAATCTGTGATTTATTCCTAAATATCCTGCTAGCTTCCTTTGCTCACCCACATCTATTGGAGCTTCAGCTAATCACTTTGTTGACAAACCATAAATTCTTGTTAAAACCATTTTTTTTTTACTCTTAATCAATGTATATGCTCTCTCTAATTTCATTTGAATGTTGACTGCAGCTATTTTCAAAGCTGAGGTTCAACAGTAATTGTTCAGACCATATAAAAGAATAGCAATGAAGGACTGCGTAGTAATAAAACCATTAACAGAGTAAGAAAATCAGGTTAGAAACAAGACACAATAGTTTTTTAGCAAATATAAACCTAAACTTTGGGATGGGCAGAAAAATTGTAAAACAAAATTGACAAATGTTTTGTTAAGAGGAAACACTCCTCAGAGCTGCATAGAAATGAAAGATAAACATTTTATTTTCTTTGTGAATTACACAAAATAAATGTTACTAAAAGAAAATATCAATTCTAAAATCTTTTTGAATTATAAATTATTGAAACAGAGTTGGAAGTTAGAATTCTTATTCAATCCAGGTGTGGTCTTGACATCTGAAAGTTGCTCTCCAGTGTGGATAGAGTTAAACCTTAACAATCCACAACTATTAGGATATTTGTTTTAGACAAAAAATTCTTGGCTTCACACGTAGCTGTTTAAATCTGAACAGTTTGTAACTACCAGCACCTTCCTTTTAGACAACTTACATAATTAGGACCCCCATTCTATTGAAGACTGTATTATTAAATGTAAGGAACTTCTCTACACTTAAAAAATAATTAATACACTTCTACACTTAAAAAAATAATTAATACACTTCTACACTTAAAAATAATTAATACATGTACATTCAGTTTAAAAACACAAAAATTACGAATTTTCATAAAGATAATTATATTTCTTTATTGGAACCAGCTATTTCAAAACAACTGAATAAAAAAAATTAAGTGAGAAGCATAAACAAGCAACAAATATAATGAAAAAACTGTTTCATTTACATGTGACTAAATGTTGTTATTAATTTGCTATTACTTTCTATTTTGCTAGGAAACAAGTAGATTTGAAATCTTATGATAAACCAATTTTTACCTCAAACACCTCAACTGTGTATCAAGCTTCACTTTATTACATAATGTGATTCTGTTGTCCAGAATGTTATTTCTTTAAAAGAATTTGAAGTTTTATTCCTTTACAAACTATTATGTTACACTACTGAACATACTCATTTCATACATTCATTTTAACATAATTTAGTAATTGTGCAGGCATGCCTTCATATCTTAAACATTGAAACATTTAATATGAAAAAATTATAATAACCTCTTCTCCCAAGAAGTAAACCCCAGTTGATCTAACAGTAAGCGACAATGTTGAAAAGGAGACTGAGGATCACATATATCTGGAGGATGAACCTTCCTTCCTACCATACTAATATAGAAAAAATAAACCATTAATAAGCTTACAGACACTTACAAAGTTCTTACAAGAGAAATTTATCTTTCATATTTGTTGAACTGTCAGTGATATATTCATATCAATATGTTGCTTTTTATATATCTAAAACATTAACACAATTTTAAGTTTCATCTTAACACAATTCATGGTGTCGACTACTGCCAGTATGATATTGTTTTTGAACACCACACACTATTCCTGACAATAAAAATAGTGCTATGAAATGCATCAGAAATAAGGTTTTTTTTAATTTCCAAGTCAAATAAGTTGATTATTAAATTATAATGAGTTTATATTCAAATTTACTGAAAATAAATAATGTATACAACTATACTTCAATTTATAACATGTGAAAAATAGTAAACATGAAGTATTTTTCTAAGAATCCGAGAGCAATAAAAACAATTTGAAATGTTTATCATTCTAGTTTTGCTAGATCCATACCCCTTATCTGAAGCATGTTTCTGCTGATGATTTAGTTCATAATTTCTTTGGTTCAGTATTAGGTTCATAGTATGTGTTTCTCTCTCAAAACATGATTCATCCATGGTTGCTGGTGGTGCATTTAAAGGTTGCTCAGGATGAAGAACACATTCAGAGCTAGTATGGCCAATGAACTGAAGTAACTATGGAACAAAAAGTGTTTAATTTTTTTAAGCTTTTTTACATTATCTAATGTTTTTCTTCTATTGATTCTTAACAAAGTATAAATAAGTGCCTGTGATATTTTTTTTCTGATCATTTCCATACAAGAAAATTTATCAAAACATAGTGATAAGTTCTATGTGATATGTTTCTCTCTCTCTCTCTCTCATACACACAGTGAAAAGAAAATCCAAGAAATGTGAAACAAGTAAGAAAGAATCAATATAACTTGTGTGTAGTATTTTTTTTATAAGGTAGTAAAACAGTAGAAACTATGAAATTGTGTAAAAATTTCAAACAAAAAATAATAAAAATGCTTATACATCATCCAAGTTATCCAGGTCATCAGCACTGTCCTCCACTGTTGGAAGCTTATCTGGAGATCGGTGTCGAAGAGTGAAGGATCTAGGAGAACTGCCTGTTCCTGACAGGCTCTGGGTAGAAGAGAACATTGAAGATGAAGAGGAAACACTATATGAGGCTGGTAGTAAAAACTGGCTTGAACTTCCTGAGACTGGCTCTAATTAAATACAAATTTAAGAGCTTAAAGAGATAAAGTTCCACTTGCTAAAACTTTCATTCAATTAGACATCACACTTATATACTTAGTCATCTTTTGTATATTTTTACAGCCAAGCCAAGATAATTCATGCAACATTAAAGTTATCCACAACAATCTTTTACTCTAGATATAAAAACTCACTTCATCATATTTAAGTCGAAGTGATCAACATGACACTAATGATATCTTTATGTGTTATAAATTAGAAATATCTTTCAGCTGATTACCGTCCACATGCTAAACATTGTTTTAACTATAAAAAATCAGCTTTCAGTAACAATTAGAAGGCATGACAACAGACCTGATCATTTTATGCCTTGAGTAAAATTGTCAAAGAAAATGAATAAAACAGCATCAAATTCTACTTAAATTATAAATTCTAAAAGGATGATAAAATTTTAATGACTTACAATATCATTTGTTAAAGATTTAAAATAGTGAATGACTCATATTTTCTGAAATTCATGTAAAAAATTACATAAAAATTTTGTATTGTCTACTACCAGATACACAGTATGTTGTAAAATCATAGCCATCAACAATTTCAAAGCAGTGTGATCTGTACCTCATACACTGTTAGAATCACAGAAATTTTCAATAATTAATACTCGTGCAGACAAGCCTAAAACTGAAGCCAAAGGGATGAACATGGCATACAAATGACATTTTTGTATTATAAATATTTTCAAAAACACAGGCAATGAAGGGACTGATTTTTTTTTCTTAATAATTCTAAGTCTACTTTAAATATTTTCATATTGTACAAATTAAAAGTTTCTTTACGTGTACCATACTGCCAATATTTCTGTCAAAAGCTGGGTACTCATGGAAAATATTACTTAATTTCTCCATCAACCCATGACTTAGAAAAACAGAAATAAAACTGTTTGTGATTTTTATGGTAAAAATATATGAAAGTACACAAAGTGAGGCATTTATAGTGTTAGTCAAACAAGTCATTAATCCTCTCTATTTGGGCTGAGTCATTTGGACCAACCTTGCAACTATCATCTAACCATGAAACTATATGTACTATGACTTTTAATGTAATGAGTGCATCCTCACAAAATTTTACAAGCTTTTAGTAAACATTACAAGTCTGAGTTCAAAGTGATTTTTATGTTTAGATTAAAAATACATCCTCAATAAATATGACAAGTTTTTTATTACAGCAAAACTTTATATTTTATCTTCCCTAACTCTGTATACAGTTGTTGTTTGTAATTAAGCACAAAGCTAAACAATAGATTATCTGTGCTCTGCCCAATGCAGGTATTGAACCGTGATTTCTAGCATCATAAGTCCACGTACATACCACTGGGGGGCCACTGTATACAGACTCATTAAACTTGACCATTCCTGTAATTACCACAAAAAAACAAAAAACAAATCTAACTTACACTTTTTTCTTTCAAGAATGATTGCATATTGTTACAGACAATTACACATTATTTATTCTTACAGCCAAAGTTAATACAATTTAAAACTTATGTCATTTAGATTTACTGCTTTACTGTCACTTAGATTAGCACTAAAGCAAATTATCACTCAGAGAAGCTCTCTGCAAAAAAAAATCAGGTTACCAATATGCTCATTCAAATTACATGTTGTGCTTGTAAGACATGCTTGCACTATCAAGTATTTTGTTATTTAGTTTCTTTAACTTACTTTTTGTTATCTAACCTAATATGTTTCTAATTTTTACATTTTAGTTGCTTTTATAACCTTTAAGTACAAAATATGGATAAAAAAACAAGAAATTTAGTATTTATCTGTGAGTCTTGTACTCTTTTTGCTTTTTGAATCTCAATAAAAGTTAACCATACTTTCTGGTTGGGGTATTGTTGGTACTTTATTTATCTTAAATATGACATTTATAATGTAAACTATTAACATACAAAAAACAAAGTCCTATAACTATTCTAACTGACTTTCTAACTATGCTATATGAGCATTAAAATATTTTCCTTACTTGGAAGAGGCAGTCTCGGTGATAGCAAACTATGAATTGGACATAGAATACACAAGGAAAGCAGTAAATTTAAATCTTTTCTTTCTATTGATAGTAGAAAACTAGATGCTATAGATTTTATCTTACATGTAAGTATGTAATCTCTCAAAAAGAAGTGAAAAGAAATTGTAAAAGAAGCAATTTGTAGCAAAGAAGTATCATATGATACAGAGAAGTAAAATTGAAAGTAAAAAATGCTAATTCATAAATACAATAAAATGACTTCAAGACCTTATTGAATGAACCAAATTGATCTACTTTGGTACCCAAGAAAACTCCAAACCAAATTCGGTTAAGATCCCTTCATAGCTGGGTAAGTGGTGAAATAATTGTAAAAAAAAATGCTAAAACATTCATAAAAATTGCAAAATGTGAAAAGATAAGACCTTCTTATTTTATATTCTAGCTTGTCAAATTTGGTAATTTGAGTTTCTAATTGGTACGAAATTATAGACTTAGTATTTTGACTTCATAAACATCTAATTTGAACCAGTGCTGCATTCAATATACCACATGGCACACAAAAATCGATGTTTATCTGCATTTTTTTAATATTTACTTTTAAATTAACAAATTCAGTAATGTATGGTATTAAAATATGAATTATAATCTACAGTTTGATACCAAACTTACTGACATAAATTCATGAAATAGTACTTGATTAAAATTTTGAATGCAAGTCAACAAACAAGATGACATGGCCTTTCATCTGTAACTCAGGGTTAATGGTTTTGGGAAAGGGAAATTCCCTCATTCCATCCTTATATCTCTTTAGAAACTTTTTATGTCACACAATGAAACAAGATGGTTGCAAAATTGCCCTTTATGTCTAAAAATGTCATACTACTTCAGATTCATAAATAATTATTTTCTTGTTTTCAAGTCTCTTGAACAAGCACTGCAATTCCTTAATTTCCTGATTAATAATAATAATAAATATTATCATACTTTTGAAATTTCAAAATGACCAAAAACTTCTTTTCTTTGATACGCTCATCAAACATATAAATTTTGGTTGTAAAATTGAATGTTCCCACAAAAAAAAACATAACTTGTTTAGATTCTATAAACTTATATATACATATATATCTTTTTTATATGCAGTTTCCTTTCTGATATCCAGAACGTATAAACTGTACATGAAAAACTTAAATATAAAAAGTAACATTTATGAAAATGCCTATCCTAGCCATATCACTGGTAAAACCATGAACAAAACCACTTAATCTGTCCTAAACAGCAAGCTTTAGTTCCAACTGTAATGGTCTTGTTTTATATTAAAACTTCAGCACAATTGTTTTTTGTCAAACTTTCATACATCTTGCATTACGAGTTGGTAATCAAACAATAACCTTGTCTTGCTACAAACTGTGTTTCAAGAACTGCAAATTTCATCCACATTCATGGGCACAAGATATCCAAAATGCTGTATCTTCAATTGTCCAATTCATACAAGTTGGTATTCACAAGTATCATCCAACAATCAAAAATGCAGTATCTGTTACACACCTCAGGCAGTCTGAGTAATAATCTACTGGTGCATGAACAATGTGATTTACCAATTATACGGAACATCTTCACATTCTTAGAGTTGTCACTGAACAAAAATTAAACATCAAGGAAATATTCAATATGCATGATCTCAAACATGAACTAAAGTACAAAGAATATGTAAAAACACTTTTCATCTTCATGTGTATGTCAGATTGGGCTTTCCCTAATCAACTCAGAAAAATGGACAGAGAAACAGAAGAAAAGGAATATATCTAACTTTACACCTTTTTCATAAAAAGTTTTATCTTTATTCTAAAAATCTCGCGACAATAAAGTATCAAAATAAATTTTCAAAAGAATCACTAAGATTAAAAGTGTATGCCTAGAAGAAGCTCTGGCTTACATATTTATTCTAAAACCCACCTGGGGGATAGGAACCAGCACCACAGTCTGCAGGCCCATACATCAAGGAACAATCCCAACAAAATTTGCCACACAAATCTCTCACTATCACTCGCACTTGAGATTTACTACAGGTAAGTTGTGACGTTCTTTCCTCTCCCTGACCATTCTGCAAGTTATGTGATAATGAAAAACTAATTTCATACTTATATTAACATGCTATTTTCTCTTAAACAGTAAAGTAATTTTTTATAAAAAAAAAAACCTTTTGGTCAACAATAAAATATTACCAAAAAATACAAAGCTGATGAAAGGATCAAGAAAGTTTCGTTATTATAATCATATAATAATTCTAATCATAAGTATTTTGCTACACCTGCTTTAACTCTTTCAACACGGGCCCGGTCCTTGGGACCGAGTCACGTGACCTTCTGTACTCGTTTAAAGTTGACATAAATTTAATACTTATAACTCTCTATATATTGGGTATATCTTCATGAAATTTGGCAGTCTTTCAGTTAATATTACAAGTCTTTCACATACAAAAAGTCATATTTCTTAGTGAAGTACTTTTAATAACATAAAATAAAGTTTTGTCCATGAACATATTGAGTATTTGTTTTGAATAGTTCATGTGCAAAGTAATTTTCATGTTAAAATTAAAAATACTTTTTGCCATCTTAAAAATCTCAAATTTCCTATGTGTAATCCCTAAAACCTCCTAAATGCATTTCAAACGTTTTTTTTCACTAAATCCTTATAGTTTATATGTTATTTTCTCTACCCTAATCTCAAAATGGGATCAGTCAATTCGACCTCCTCATAACCACCCCAAAAAAAATCGAAATAAACCTAAATTGACCTTCTTTTCTTTCTAGTATGAT